TCTTCTGAATCATGTCCCAGACACCAGGACTTAAACCTATTAAGTAATTCATATTCCTGCCTCTTGAATCTTTATCATTCTCCCCATCCAATCAATGGTCCCCCATTCATTCCCATCCCCCCCACCTCTTCATATAGCAAGCTCTCCAACGCTGAAAGAACTCCAGACTTTATCATTTCAAAACCACTTTCACATGCATAATATCAAATGAGGAACTGAGATTCAGAGAGAGAATGTGACTTCAAGATCATGCAGCTAGTAATTCGCAGCATGGGAATGTGAACTCAAACTCGAGTCTCCCACCATCCCCTCTGTTCTTCCCCTCCCACCACCCTGCCACCCTAATCCCCTCTTCTGACCAGAGCTTTGTGAAATTCTTCCTTTGGTCTAAATTGATGTCCCCTCTCTCTGCAGCTCCCTTCACCTTACCGCAAGCATTTTTTACCCTCTCCCATCCCGAGATGCCCCATTCAAGACACAGCTGATGAAAGAAATGTAAAGACAGAAGGCATTGATGGGAGAGGGGATCTAAAACCCAAGGAGGAGAGATCCCCTTGGCCATGGTTGGAAATGAAAGAGGAAGGGCTGCTCCGTGGAGGGAGGCACAAAAACTCATCACTGCCAATGCCTGGGAGAAATGGTGCTCCTTTTGCTCCAGAGACCCAGGGGGCCACAGTTTACCTTGCTATGTTCACAGCAGCTCCACAACCATATGCAGAAAAAGGGGAACCACTGTACAGCTTTCAAAACCAGTGAGAACCACAGAAGGTCACTCCGTGGGGCATACAGAAAATGAAGACAAAAGGCGGACTAAATCAACCGGTAAGGCACCCAGTCCAGTCCCTCAGCTTCCTCCTCCTGCCCATTTGATCTCTCCAGGATTATAAAAAAATGTTGGTGTGTCACAAACACATACACAAGATCACAGGTACATAATATCCCATTACCTACACACACACACACTCACTCACACACATGCATCATCTCATTCATACATAAGGCAATCTCAGGTATTCGAGTAAGTGCAAAGCTTCTGAACCTATTTATTATCACACGTGCCATTTATAAACATGAAAACAAAGAGACATCATCATGGAGCTCTGACTCCATGAGCTGTCCCCCGCCCGCCTGCCAACCTTCACCCAGACACATATGTATACACGTCAGGCATTCACGATTTCATCCTGAAACATCTCATTCACACGTCCAAATAACGTTTCCATAGCCTCTCTGTAACTCCTTCAGTTCCAGGCTCTGTCCTGAGGTCCTCAAACCCTGTACCTTTTAAACATCACCCTCTCAAAAAACACCACCACCTCCTTTCCTTCCCCCATCCCCCTCCGCCCACGCATAGGAGCACACGCACCACAGAATCAGACAGAACTGGGCTCCATGACATATACACGGATACTCATTAATTCATTTGTCCATTCCTTTATTTATTTATTTTTTTTTTTAAGATTTTATTTATTTGTCAGAGAGAGAGAGAGAGAGCGAGAGTGAGCACAGGCAGATAGAGTGGCAGGCAGAGGCAGAGGGAGAAGCAGGCTCACCGCAGAGCAAGGAGCCCGATGTGGGACTCGATCCCAGGACCCCAGGATCATGACCTGAGCCGAAGGCAGCCGCTTAACCAGCTGAGCCACCCAGGCGTCCCATGTCCATTCCTTTATTTAACAACATTTCTTGAGTGCCTATTATGTTTCAGGTACCATACTAGACTCGGATGAAACAAAGATGAGCAAAAAGAATCCCCAGCTCAGCTGTAATGACCTTGAACCACAGCCTAGGACATAGAGCCTAGACCTTGGGAGTCCTGAGTCCCATGTGAAGAAAGGAGAAGAGAAAGGGATTGTGTTTATAGTATCCCAAAGGAAAAGGGAAGTTCTATCTGTAAAATTCCAGGAGAAACTGGGGCAGAGAGAAGAAAGTGATGTTTGTACAATCCTGGGAGAAAGAGAAAGAATTCGTTTCTATGCTTTTCTTGTGTCCATAGACCCCCCCTCTGCCCAAAGGAAAGGATCAGGCAGAAACCAAAGTGGTAAAGTCTTAGCACTTGGATGGGGGTAGCAAAATGAGGAACTGGGTGCCTCACCCACTCGCAACCCCCCTGAGATATGTGAACCAGATTATGAACTCCATAGGAGCAGGGACTGTGTCTACTTTGCCCACAACCATACCCCGGTCTCCAGCACATCACCTGACCCTCAGGAGGCACTCAATTAATAGTTGCTGAATGAATGAATGAGCTAAGGATGCCAAACCAATCTCCCTTCACAGATTTTTTTGACTCACAAAAGACACAGGAAACCCCTTGCTCCTGAGCCTCCTCTAGGCTTCTCAAGGTCCTCTGGTCTCAGAGAAAGGCAAGCAGTCCAGTCAAATCCTTCATCTTAGGGCCAGAAATGCTCACCCCACTCAGCCCATCATCTCCAGACTCCCTATTCCAGCTACTCGAATGCCTTCACTTCTGAGTCTGCTTAGTTAGGAAAATTTTCATGCTAGGTAGAGGTGAAATCCCATAGCTGGAGACTCTTCAGCTCTGATGCTCCAGATTCTGAATTAATCTTTGGCAGAGTCCTGCTGTGGGAAACAGAATTCCTGGATGCCCTTCCCAAGAAGAAATTGCCCTGCAAAATTATATTAGTATGGGCTTTTTAACTGGAGGCAAAAACACTAAACCCGGCCTCCCTGAAGACAATCTAGATGTCCTAGATTAGAAATTAAAAGGATAGTTGGGGGAGTGGTGGGGGTGGGTTAGGACGTGTTGTGTAGAGGCCTTATATATCTTCATTTCTATTCAGTACACAGTCATGAGATAATCGTGTCTATCACCCTATTCTCATTAGAGCCTCACTAATATTCAAACAGGGCCAAATCCAGTAAGCCATCAAGTGGGGATCTACCTTGATATCAAAATCTTTCTTTGCTTTGAGAAAGTGAGATTGAGAATCTATTCCTGGTGATTAACAATATGGAAATTGGCCTTTTCTGGCTAAGTTATTACATGCAGCTAACATTCTTAAGGACCAAACTGCTGAAATAAGTGAAGACCGGAATAATTTAATCAATAAGATTAGTGCTCCTTGTCCACCATGATCTCCTGTAAGGACATCTCAGCTAATGCACTGTGTAGGGGCAGCTGCCTCTACTCCCTTCTTTCCCTGGGTTGCAATGCCTCCTCTGGGGATCCTCTTCTCCCACCATTGAGCACTTCTCATACTAAAGGAAGAAATAGTGATTTGCTTCCAAGAAAGACTTTGGTTAGAAAGGTATGGGAGACATTGAAACAGGGAAAACCTGCCCCCTTGCATGGCCCACTCATTACCCGGAATGGAGGTAAGGAAAATATATGATGGGGGGAAGCCATCCTGGGACACCTTGAATTCTCCCATTTATAAACCCTGAGCCCCCTTCTTTGCCTTTCCACCACTTCCTTACCTGCCACCACCACCACCACCCCCCCCAGCTTAGTTACCATTAACAGAGCATCATTTTCTATCAAGAATCATTCGGTGCTCCTCCCAACAAAAATCAATTCAATCCGGTTTTCCATTTCTTCATCCCAGAACTCATTCCAAGGCTGCGCTTCACAGAGCCCAGCAAATTGCATTGGCTAGAGGCAGCAAAGGACAGGAACTGAGAAGCACATTTGGATGCCAAGCCTTGTTGCCCATTGGCCTCAGTTCTCCCTAAGGCCTCGCTAAGCAGCTAAAGTATAAATCAGACCCACCCACCCAATATCAAGGTGTCATCTTATTACCACAGGTGAAGTATTTTAAAAAACAAAACAATCGCTAGCATCTCTCCATCTCCTACCACCATCTCTCCCTCCACTGGACCCCAGAAATGGAAAGCTTCAGGGCTCACTATTGAGGATAATGGGAAGGAACTGGGTTTCGGGACTATGGTTCCTGCATTGCCTCACTGAACATCTACAGTCTCTTTCCTGGGACCACTGGGAGTCATATCGGGGAGAGGGGCACCTTCCCTCATTCTCTGATCAAGAATCCACAGACTGCGGAGGTTACCCGAAGACGGCTGACTGGGAGATAAAGGTGCTGCCTGGTTTGTCTTTGACCCACTCCTTTCCATCTCTGAAGAACAGAAAGAAAAGTTGCTTCCCTCCCCTGGGACTGGAGTAGGGACACCCAAGTCCCTGGTTTTCCTATTTATCCAGCCCCCACCCCCATGCCCTCCTCCTGCCACAACAAGAAAAGATGCCTAAATGTGCTTGGGGATCCTTGGGAGACCTACAGCAACAAAAAGATTTGACAGTTGCCTTGCCCTTGTCAATCAATCTTTCTTCACCACCACCCCAGCTCCCAGGTAGGGGCTCCACCCCAACTCTCCCAGATCCCAGCTACAGCCCCCAACATTACTGTGTACAGGGGGCTTCCTGGCCCCCAGTGTTGAGCAGCTCAGGTATGGAGCGCCCCCCCCATCCCCAACCCCTAAAAGATGCTGGAGGCAGAAACCACCAATCCCAACAGGGATACATATGACCCACAGGTTGGCACAAGTATCCCCACGCACTAGATCTGCAGCTGTGTGCGATCACTCTACACACATCTGTGTGTCCCACGGACACTCGCGCACACACATGTCATGTGTGTCTCCCATCTGCACACCCCTACACACGGATACGTGTGAGTCAGCCCGGCACATCCTGAATGCTGCCCGTCTGCAGCCCTGCCACACCGCGCATAATGTGCCTCCTGTCCGCGCTGCGTGTGTCACCCGGGGGTCCACGGGCACAGGCACAGCGTTAGCTTTGCAACTCCTCTAAACCCGCTCCAACCAGCTGGCTTGCTCCGCACACGCCTTGCACATGTGGCCTGACCCTGCGTGTCAGGGCAGCTTATTTCCTCGCACCTGCCAACATGTGTGCGGGAGACAATCCACCGGCCGGGCTCCGGCTACTTCCCCCCCACCCCGCCGCCACCACCACCACTTCCAGGCTCCCTGAGATCCCTTCCCCCCACTCCCGGCCTGGGACTCACAGAGACCGAAGCTTAATCCACATCTTCTTGCTGGGGGCTGACTTCAGCTCCAGAGGTGACGGGCAATCCGACTCCAGCATCTCGGGAGGGCTGCGGGGGGACAGCTCCATGCTCACCCTCTGTCTGCGGAACGAAGGGAGGGGACGGCCCCGCGGCTCAGCCTCAGCCCGGAACCGGGAGCCCCTCGCCCGCCCACCCCAGCCCCTTCCCACCTGCGGCTGGCGCGGAGCAGCCAGGCCGGTGTGTCTGGGCTCGGCCCAAGCTGGCGGAGCTGCAGTTCCTGCGGCTCCTGCTCTCGCACTGTCCAGCCGAGCTCTGGCTCCCAGTCCGAGCTCTCCGCGCCGCCGCCGCCGCCGCCGCCGCCGCCGCCGCCGCCGCCGCCGCCGCCGCCGCCGCGCGCTGCCGGGGCCGCCTCCTCTGCTCTCTCCTCCTCCCTCGGCCGGCCCCCCTCCCTGCGCTCCCGCCTTCCTCGGCCTGCCCGCTCGGCTCTCGCTCCTCGCGGCCCCTCCTCCCCCTCCCCGCGGAGCTACGGGGAGCCGGGGGCACACGCAGACAGCGGCGCCGAGGGCGAGCGCACGCAGCCGGGCGCCCGGGAGGAGCGGCGGCGGGTGCCCCGTGAGGGGGCCGCGAGTGCATGTTGACAGAGTGCCCGCCGCGCCGGCGGCCGCAGCCCTCGGCGTGGGCGGCCGGGGGCGTTCCCGGCTCTGCGCTTTGAGTTTCTGTGGATGTGCTTGTGGCTTTGTGTATCCATGAGAGCCCAGCCGCCTGTGCGCCCCTTGGCGTGAGGGAGGGGTCGGAGATGAGTTCCCCGGCTTTGCCCGGGGAAGCTGGGCGCTGTGGCTGAGGGCAGCCATCCACCGTCCGAACCTGGCCCGGGACCAGAGCCTCCCACCTTGCGCTCTGACCTTTGAGGGGAAAAGTTCAAGGTCTGCTCTGAGTTGCCATGGGACTCCATTCCTCCCCTCAGTTCCCTTAACTTGATGGTCCTGATCTGTCTCCAGCGCTGTGGCCTTCCCTCCTGGTGCCTCTATCCATCCCCCTGGCCAGTGGGAGTTTCTTCCAAGCTTAAAGCTTTCCGGACAGAATCCGCCAGAGCCGGCAGGACTGCATCCTCTCTGTACGGAACTCCGTTAGAACCAGGAAACCATTCCTGGTGTGTCACCTCGGCCCCTCCTGTAGCGGGTACTTTTTATTCCCTCTTATTTTGTCTTCTGTAAAAGAAATCTAATGGCTAAGGGCCCAGCACAGTACAGTCTAGCTGCTTCAAACATTTGTAGAACGAGGGGCGCCTGGGTAGTTTAGTGGGTTGGGCACCTGATTTGGCTCAGATCATGATACCACAGTCCTGGGATGGAGCCCGGGGTCCTGGGATCTAGCCCAGGGCAGTCAGGCGCCCCCTCTGGGCAGGGAGTCAGCATCTCCCTCTCACTCTGCCCCTCCCCTGCTTGTGTTCCCTCTCTCTCTCTCTTTTTCAAATAAGTAAATAAAATCTTTTTTAAACTTTTTTGGAGAATTAACGAACTGAAATTTGAATTCAAGACTTTGTAACAGGGCAAGCCTCCTCCATCCGGCTGAATCCTACCTAGGATTCTGGCAGGAACCACCTTAGGATCCCTTAGAATTGTTCTCTTCCTTGATAACTACCTACCTTAGTGTTGTGGGGAAATCCTATGTAAACAGAAAGTGGAGCTGTATTCACTAACAGCCAGATCCCGAACAGGCCACTAATCCAGAATCCCAGAATGTGAGTTTCCATTTCAAGAACTCTGGAGGTTGGAAGGAGGGATGATCAGGAGAAGGTATTTACTCCATTCTCAATATTGGGGTGAGGCTCCCACCCCCTTGCCAGGCAATGGAGGAGAAAAGAGCAGAAGGGAAGTGGAAGGGTAGAGACTTCCAGCTTAAAAGAATGGTCTTTCAGGTAATGAGGTTAGGTCAGTCCTTGAGACCTGGCTGGACAGAGAGGTATCAGCAGAACCAGCTCCCAGCAAGCACCCAGGAAGAAGGAGACGGCAGAGTCAGAGATGGACAGAAAGCGGAAAGAGTGTGGGACTCCCCTGTCTCTGTCCACCTAGCTTCTGCGTCCCTTTCCCCTCCATGCCTAAGGAAGAACCCCAGCCAAGACAAAGCTGCAGCCAGACCCCAGTCAGACTCCTACACAATCCAGGTCTCAAACTCTTGAGAGCAACCACCTCCCTTAACAACTGAGAAAGAATGGGCTGGAAACTACAAAAGAATTGCAAATTAGAATCAGAGCTAAGGAGCTGCCCAAATTAGGTAGGCATTTAAACAAAAAGAGGTGGAAAAGAGGCGGGAGATGTACTTCCAGAGGGATCTCGACAGGTCTTGCAAACACGGTGGCATATCCCACCCTAATCTCCCAGGCCCCCAACTCCTAACCCATCTTAAGGGAAGGAAAATTCACCAAAACAAAAGTTATTCATGAAAGGTACTTTGGAGTCCCTCTAGTCTGACCCCCTCCATTTAACGAGTGGGAAAACTAAGCCCAGAAAAACGATGTGGTCCCCGCAGAGAATAAGCAGCAAAGCCAGAGCCAAGTCCTCCTAACCTTTTTCTTGTGCTTTTCCATCCTGTGGCTCTCTTTCTCCTTCTTTAGTCACCAGTCCTGGTGTTTAACCTCAACCTCATCCTTCTTGCAGCAATTTAATCCCATGTCTGCCTTACCCTACCTCTACACAGATAAAAACCAGATATGTCTGCTCCATCCATAGGCGATTTTTCTCTCCCTGTCCTCTGGTCCCAACCCCCTCTCTCTTCCAGGCGGCTTCTGCCAGCCTCGTTGGTCTCCTTTTCACCTTCCAAACTGCCCCTGCCCCTTGGAGACCCTTCCGTCTTCACTCCCCCAGCCCCACAATTCCTCCCAACTAGCTTTTGAGTTTGATAGGGACCAAAAATGATGCTTTGGCAGCAGTGACGGATGGATGTGATGTGCCTCCCACGGGAATGCTATTTAAAGGGGCGGCCTCACAATCCTCTCCTTCCAAAGTGACAAGAGAAAAAGCCTGCTCCTCAATCTCTCCAGAGCTGCAAACTCAGCTCAAGTTAACTTCTGACTTCCTCAACCCGCAGCCTGGCCTGTGCTCCCGCTTCCTATTCAGGTGGGAGGGAGAGGACTTGACAACTCACTGAGGTGTGGGGGCTGAGGGGGGATTCATCTTTGTTTCTTTTGATGACAGGTACTTAGGAGGAGCAGGAGGCCCTGTGGGGGGAGAACTGGAAGAACACTCCTCCCCCAACCTCGTGAGTACATTTCAGCCATGTGCCTGCTTCTTCTCGGAGTCGAACTTTGTTGTAGAAGAACAGAGAGAGGCGCAAGGACCTAAGCGAGGGAAGTCTTAGCCTTAGCTGGGACCTCCTTCCCTCTTGGGCCCCAGGGCTCAAATCAAAGCTGTTCTAGTCCTCCCAGGCAAAGGGCCACCAGGTAAGATCCCCTGGGCCTGACCCAGCCCCACCTGCCTACGGAACTGAACACCATCATAAGAGGAGCAGTGTTTGCATTGCCTGCAGGAAAGGGAGCTCCTGGGCAAGCATCTCACCCCAGGCCTGGTGGGAGGGATAATTCCAGCTCATTGCCGCAAACAAGTTAATGGAGATTTTAATGAAAACACTGCACTAATGAAAATGCTGAGGCTAGAACTTACTCTCTGCCTGCAAGACAAAACAATTGGAGTCAGAATTTCTCCGATAGTCATTCCTCATTTCCTTTTAAGGCCTGAATAAAACAAGCTGGGGATCTGAGAGCCTGTTTATGGGTGATTGTGTCCCCAGCTGTCAGGGGTCAGAGATCAGGGAAGCGTACTGCTGAAAATGCCGAAAATGCCAATGGGTCCCATCACCACATCTGTCCCTTCAGCTCGAGACATTCACCTTTTGTTTCAGGTGGTAATGAAGCAGGAGAACTGAGGTTCTTGTCTCACGGAGTTGAAAAATGAATCTCACCTGACCAAGGAGAGGGAGTAAAGTGATAGGTTTTATTGAGTGAGGATACAGAGGCTCTCAGGAGTGAGAAGGGTCCAGGCCACTGAGGGCTTTTAGGGTTGGTCTTTTATTGAAGGCTAACCAGGGAACTTCAATCCTTTTAACATCTCTACTGATAGCACCACCAAGTAAGGACTAGTGATAACACGTTCAATGGCTTACTTCCTTTTTAGGGTCTGGTAATTCTTTGTTGGTCACAAGTAGCTGTTATAAGAAGATCCCACCTCTGACACCTGGGACAGGATGGTCTGGTTTGTTCCCTTTAGTTTCCTTACAACTTCCACATTTGGGGGATTTTTCTGTAAGCCTGATTCCGTAGACCACTACCTATCTCTCCCTGCCTAGCCCCGCCTGTCCCTTACTCAGTAAAGCCACCACGCCCTCACCTTCTATTTGCTCATTCTAGAGTCTCTGGATTCTAATGACCAGGTCTTCCCAGATGAAGAGGCAGTCTGGTCAGGTAGAAAATGTCTAGGATTGAGATCAGGCTTGAGTCCCGGTTCTCGATGTACTGCTAAACATGTGACCTTCATTAAATCATTAAACATCTCTGAATCTATTTACTGGCCTAAAATAGGGAAGCCTTCCCCAGCTATCTTGCAGAATTGTCAAAAAGGATGCGAGAGCACTTTGAAAAAGTATACATAACAGAGAAATGTGTGTGTGATTACATATTTGTAAAAAGATATCAGGTCCAATGACAACATCTTAGAAAAGGAGAACAGATTTCTACTGCCAAGGGTTAGGGAAGGGGAAGGGGATGTGATTGTAAAAAAGCAACATGAGGTATCCTTGTGGCTCTTGACTGTGTTGGTGACAGATGCGCAACCCTACATGGGAAAAGCTGTACAGGGATGCCTGGGTGGCTCAGTCAGTTAAGCATCTGTCTTCAGCTTGGGTCGTTATCTCCGGGTCCTGGGATCGAACCCCACGATGAAGCCCCATATCCCCACACATTGGTGTCCCTGCTCTACCTCTCCCTCCCTCTCTGTCCCTCTCACTCTGTGCTCTCGCTCTCACTCATTCTCTCTCAAATAAATAAATAAAATCTTTTAAAAAAGAAAAAGCTGTACAGAACTAAATACATATACACAGAGGAATGAGTATAAGT